GCTTGCGATCCCTAGGCGTAGGCAGCGGGGAGTGTTGGTCGGCTTGCCCCTGCCGTGATACACCGTGGAATGTCACTTCACTTCCGAGGCCAGGGAGGGAAGAACCAGAAAGCAAATTTATGAATCATGGTTCTGTTTATGTTTTGGTTGCTGAGGCTAAATATTTATTGCTTCAAGTAAGAGGCTCCGCTTTAATTAGAATCATAACTAACCACAAATGCATTGAAATACATTGTCGGGGCCATAGACAAGCATCTCCGGACAGAAAGCCAAATATAGCTCACACTTTTAAATGACCCAGGGCCACGGGCCGAAGTAGTAAAGCTTATCTAAATTAACAGCTAGCTTTTGGAATCAAAAAGTGCGTAGAAGTTTATATGGACTTGTTTTTCTTGCTGTGACTTATCAGGTCACATTCTCCTGCTGCTGCTACGGCCGAAGGGATAAAGGTGTGGTCCGCTTATGGCCTGCGATTCAAAAGCTTACAAGCCTGGGGAGAAGGCTCAGTCAGTAAAGTGCTTGCTTTGCAAACAGGAGGACCTGGATTATCCTAGGACCTATGTTAAAAAGCTGTACCCGATGGTTCATCTCAGTGCTGGGGAGCCAGAGACAAGTGGGGCCCTGAAGCTTGTGCCTCTCTATATTACCTTCCGAGTTCTGGGTCAAGTGAGAGACCCAAGGCTGACCTTGAACTGCTAATCACCTCTTAAAGGCTTTAAAGTTGAGCCAGTGGGGAGGCAGAGAGAGGTCCTTCAACCTGGGTCTGCTGTGTGGTTAGAACACAGGCTGTTCTGGGAAAATGGAAGGTCTTCGGGGCGGTCTCTTCTACCCCGTCTAAGCTGGGCATGCAGCTGCTGCTGAGGTCTGAGAGCCTGGTCCAAGTGTGGGAACCAGAAAGCCAGCTGGCTCTTCAAGGAGCGGCAGGGAAGTGTGGGGGTGTGAATCACTGCAGCGCACCAAGGCCACGGGGTAAAATGAGCAGGTGCTACGGGTTGATGCTGAGTACAGAGCAGGGGTCAGACCTTGCTCTTTGCCCCCTCTTCCACGTGGTCCAGCCAGCGGCCTGGTCACAGATGGCATGCCGGTGTGGCCCTGTTTTGGAGACCACAAAGGACAAGGGAAGATGTCACAAAGAGTGAAAGGTCCAGGAGACAGAGGAAAAACTTGGGCGGTGACCGTACTTCTCCGACTCTCGGGCAATTAAATTAGGTAAAGAGAGTGAAGTCCCAGCCAGGACTTCCTCTCTTCCTGACCTCCTCAAGGTCTTAGGCCAACAAAAACTCAGTAGCTTGGCCTCCCGTGCTTCTGCCACAGCCAAAAAGTCTTTGCTTCCTGAAAATTCCCAGGTCCCCAGCGTGATCAGGAAACAGTCCAGGTTTTACTAATTAAGTCAGATGTGAAAGGGGGTGAAATGGGTCACAGGTCAAGTCTACTGAGGGATTCATTAATTAATTAATCAATTTTGAGAAAGCGTTTTGCTCTGTAACCCAGTCTGGCTTGGATTCCATTATCTATCCCAGGCTGGCCTTGAACTTGCAGTGTTCTCTGCCTCTCAGATTTCCAAGTGCTGGGTTTACAGGCACGGGCCATTGTGCCTGGTAGATTCTCTCCCTTGTTTGGACATTACATCCTCTCAAAGAGAGAAGGCTGCTTAGCTTCCCTGGGCCTCCAAAGCAAAACCAAACCAAGCCAAAACCCAAACCAAAAGTTGATCTCTGCCTCACACCTATCCTCGTGTACACGGACCTACATCCCCACACCGACCTCGACGTATGAACACTCACATACAAAAATAAAAAATAAAAACAAAACAAAAGCACATAAGCTACATTTGGCTTTGAAGCGCATTGTGTTTGATTCTCACCTGGGAATGAGTCCTGCCCGAGTTAAGGTTACTGGGAGAGCTTCCTAAGTCATGGATTACTGCCTTCCCCCACTGCCAGGCCAGCCAATCACAGCCTCTACCGCATGGTTTTAAAGGAACCCGTAATTCTGACATGCATTCAGGATGTGAATGGCTGTGGGTCTGGATTTACTAATGAACTCAGCCAGGGCTGGTGGCACTTTCCTGTTATCCCAGCTACTCAGGAGATTTGACAAATTGAGAGTAGCCTGGGCTGCGTCGTGAATTCAAGGCATTTTCCTGAGACCTGGTTTCAAAAAGAAAAAGAAGGCATGTGAGGCTTGCGGATATAACTCCAACTCAGTGGTCAAGTACTTCCTAGCATAGCAAACTCCCCCAAAGTCAGACCCCAGGACTGAAACTATTGCTTAACCCCTTTGAGCTTTTCACTTTTTCCTATTAGAAAAAAAAAATGGGGATCATAGTATGTAGCGCAAAAGTTTGCCATACAAGGGCTGGGGAGATGGCTCAGCTGATAAATATGTTTGCAACCAAGCTCTAAGTTTGATCCTCAGGGCACACCTGGTAAAAGAATAGAACCAACTCCCAGAAGTGGTCCTCTGACCTCCACGTGCAGCCTTGCCGTGAGCATACACTGGTACACACACACACACACACACACACACACACACACAAATAAATGTGCAAAAGATTGTCATCCAAATCCAATGAAATAACGCAGGAACGTACTTAGTCACATGCTTAGTTTGGTGCTTGGTAAAAAGGCTCCATTAATAGACAGTGTTATTGTTAGCGTTATTATTATCTTCAGCTTGGAATGGGGAATAAAATAGCTGCCGAGAAGCAGTTATTCTGGACTCTGTTCTTACTAGTAAAGATAAACCACACACACTCAAACGGTAGAATAAGCACAGATAGCTGACGCTCGCACCCCGCCCCTTAGAAGGCCGATGGAAGATACTGGAGAGACCTTTCTCCACTCCATACAGGCCTGGTGAGAAACTGGGGTTTGAAACAGAGTAATGTCCGTGTTGCTGGTGATAAAATATTTTAGTTTTGTAATGGCTTGCTCAAGCTTGGGATTCAAGCTAAATTCCTTTCGCATTTAATGCTGTGGAACTGGGGTCATATACAAGGCTGGAGTAAGTACTCATGTCTTTCAGTTAAAACTAGAACCTTAGGTGCAGCTGGATTGGCTGAGTAGCTCCGCCCACAGGGTCATATTGAGGGGCCTCTATGGGCGGATCCTGACTCTCAGTTGCTGCACTTTCCAATGTGTTGCCAGATCCCTTTGCTGCCGGCACAGCCCCTTCTAAGCCCTCCAGCTTCTGACCCTTTACTGAAAGATGACAAACAACGAAACCGTTTCCACTGAGAATCCCCGGGGGAGGTCAACCACCTGCAGAAGAGCTGCCCACAGTCTCACAGAAACAGGTGTCCCTTTGCTTGTCACAGAGCTGAGCCACAGCGCCTGCCTTCTCTTCTGGGTGGAGATAGCGATTTACTTCTTAGATCCGAAGCCTTGGCCTGGCTTTAGCATCTGGCCTCAAAGGTTAATGAGCGAGCCCTTTGAATGTCATGCGCCATGGGCTGTCTATAAAAGGGCCCTGTCTGTCCACCCACTCATACCAAAAGCATCCATGCAAATGTTCCTCCCAGGGCTGGAAAGACCCCCAGACTCCCAAGCACACACGTCTGCGCTCCGACTCGTTGCTATTCGGCCGTAAGCGGAAGCATGCTGCGCCTCCTGAACCCACATGGAAACGCGTTTTTTGTGCTCTGCCACAGTAACGGATTTTCTGTTCCACGTGCATGGAGGGGTCTTGTTCTGTGTGTGTTTTAGGGGAGAGAAGGCTTCGGTGGAAAGTGTGCACTTTAGAAATTCTGGATTAGATCAAAGACCTTTCCAGTCTGTAGTGACTGAATTTAGTTGGTCGTCTTGAGCCCGACACGCTTGAACGTAAACAGCCCATAGGGTGGGAGCTGTTTTGTGTTCTGCTGCTTCTGTCAACACTTGGGGGACTCCAGAGCTCCTCCTGTGCTGGTCCCAGGAATTTGGAGCACTTCCGGTCTGGTGTACCGAGCCAGGGACATCAAAGGTTCGGTCTGCGGCAGTGAGAACACAGAGGGAGGAAGCCTTCATCTTGGTCGCCGCGCCTCCCCACCCATGATTGCTTTTATTATTTACACCAGCCAAACTCGGGGAAGTTGCATGACCGCAGTGTGTGTGTGAGCCACATACAGCGCTCGCCTTGGAAGAACTTCTTACACGCGAACCTTGTGGAATCCCTGGCCTCTGGCTCAACTGGGGATGAGGGTGGTGTGTGTGTGTGTGTGTGTGTGTGTGTGTGTGTGTGTGTGTGTGTGTGTGTGTGTGTGTGTGTGTAGGAGTGGCGGAGCCCGTCATGGTTAATTCAACGCAACATGTGTATTCAGGATGTTTTCTTAAAACGTGACCTCATCCCTTCCAGCCCACGGACTGTCATTATATTGGTGGTCACTTTTAACTTGACTACAAAAATAATGTCTCCCATTACCAACGTGAAAGTTCATAGATTGCACATGGGCCATTCTTACTCCCCACCCCCACCCCCCAAGAGGCAAACACTCGGGAAGATGACTGATACTGTTTCATCAGGACTCATTAATTCAAGGAAAAGCAAAGCAAACCCAAATCAATCCACACGAGATCAGTCAGGCACGGGGTTGTTTGAACAGCTGAGGAAGCCCCCACTTCCAAAGAACTGTAGTTTTGCTTTAATTGTTTTTTGGTTCTGGAGATTGAACCAAGGGCTTTGTACTGGGGATGTGTGAACAACTTGGAGGGGTCTTTCTTTCTTTCTTTTTTGCTTCGCTATAGCTTTGGCGTTTGTCCTATTGTCCTGGAACTAGCTCTTGTAGACCAGACTGGTGTCGAACTCACAGAGATCCACCTGTCTTTGCCTCCTGAGTGCTGGGATTGAAGGTGTGTGCCACCGCCGCCCAGCTAAAATAAATATATATTTATAAAAAGCCAGTTCCTTGTTGAAATTGTTGGACACCCTTGGAGAGGTACTGTTCTCCCACAGGCTAGCTCTTAGCTGACAAAGAAATCTCGAGTTACTGATGGTCATGAAACAACTGCTTCTTCTCATAGGCGGAAGTTCAGCCAAGCAGACCACCTGGGAAGGTGGGCATCGTGTTCCAGCACTGGCTTACTGGCCTGGCAGAATTCCAGCCAATGTCACGAGCACTGCCTTGCTAAGGTAGGAGATCTGCATGGATTTAGCTGTGGGGGTGTAGAGCCGGAGCTGATGGGGACATGTGGGTGGCTGAAGATCCTGGGAGAATCATTGCTCGCTGGTTACCTGCGTTAGCCAGGGATTCTACATACGCCTGTGCTCTGATGGCAACTGTGTGGATGGGTCTATGAGCTTTCCCCTGGGGATGAGAGTTGAGTACCAACAAGGGGCCTTGCTGGTCCCTAACCCTCGGCATTAGCTCTTAGCAGTGTGTGCTGAAGAGAAAAGCAGGCAAGGATGGCAGTCACAGTGAAGGTCCCATAAACTCTATTCATCCCTGGGATAAGGGCAGATATCCTAGGTGACTCAGAAAACCTTTACATCACTGGTGACCAAATGTCCCCAAGATAAAGTACAGACAGCTGAATGCCCTGGAGGCCAGGAAGGAGACAGATGGCTCCAGTGGACCAAGAGGGAAAGAATGAATCCTTAGATGAGGATGTCATGCATGCAGCCTCCAGTCATAGGGCCTCTAGAAACATCGTTCATCTGGAGCACTGTGTGTGTCCATCTCTCCACCATGTGTACATCTCTCCCCCGTGTGTACATCTCTCCCCTGTGTGTACATCTCTCCACCATGTGTACATCTCTCCACCATGTGTACATCTCTCCACCATGTGTACATCTCTCCCCCGTGTGTACATCTCTCCACCATGTGTACATCTCTCCACTATGTGTACATCTCTCCACCATGTGTACATCTCTCCACCATGTGTACATCTCTCCCCTGTGTGTACATCTCTCTACCATGTGTACATCTCTCCACCATGTGTACATCTCTCCACCATGTGTACATCTCTCCACCATGTGTACATCTCTCCACCATGTGTACATCTCTCCACCATGTGTACATCTCTCCACCATGTGTACATCTCTCCACCATGTGTACATCTCTCCACCATGTGTACATCTCTCCACCATGTGTACATCTCTCCACCATGTGTACATCTCTCCACCATGTGTACATCTCTCCACCATGTGTACATCTCTCCACCATGTGTACATCTCTCCACCATGTGTACATCTCTCCACCATGTGTACATCTCTCCACCATGTGTACATCTCTCCACCATGTGTACATCTCTCCACCATGTGTACATCTCTCCACCATGTGTACATCTCTCCACCATGTGTACATCTCTCCACCATGTGTACATCTCTCCACCATGTGTACATCTCTCCACCATGTGTACATCTCTCCACCATGTGTACATCTCTCCACCATGTGTACATCTCTCCACCATGTGTACATCTCTCCACCATGTGTACATCTCTCCACCATGTGTACATCTCTCCACCATGTGTACATCTCTCCACCATGTGTACATCTCTCCACCATGTGTACATCTCTCCACCATGTGTACATCTCTCCACCGTGTGTACATCTCTCCACCATGTGTACATCTCTCCACCATGTGTACATCTCTCCACCATGTGTACATCTCTCCACCATGTGTACATCTCTCCACTATGTGTACATCTCTCCACCATGTGTACATCTCTCCACCATGTGTACATCTCTCCCCTGTGTGTACATCTCTCCACCATGTGTGTGCGCCATCTCTCCTCTGTGTGTACACCCATCTCTCCTCTGTGTGTACATCTCTCCACCGTGTGTGTGACATCTCTCCATTGTATTAAGGCAAATAGATAAGGGCGGTTTCTTGGCAGAAAATCTGGCTGTGATGGATCTCTGGGAACATTGCCATGGAAACTAAGGAACCCTGACTTAAGCTGGGATCCCTTACATAGTCATTAGAAAAGTATTTATTTATATATTTGGTGTATGCCTGTACATGCCTGTGTATAGAGAGGTCAGAAGTTAGTCACTGGAGTCATTTTTCTGAAGCCATCCGGCTTGTGTTTTGTTCTGTGATTTTCTTTAATTTTTAAGATTTACATGTGTGAGAGGCTCTGCCTGCCTTCGCGCCTTTCATGTTTACCATGTATGTACAGTGTTGTGGAGGCCAGAAGATGACATCAGATCTGATCTCCTGGAACTGGAGTTACAGGCAGTTGTGAGCCATCATGTGGGGGCTGGGACCCGAGTGCAGGTCATTTGTAAGAGCAGTGAGTGCTCTTAACCACTGAGCCCTTTCTCTAGCTCCTCCCCTTTCTCTTTGAGACAGGGTCTCACTACAATCTGGAGGTTCAATGATTTGGTTAGGTTACCTAGCCAGCAAGCCCCAGGGATGCTTCTGTCTTCGCCTACCCATCACTGAGATTACGAGTGCAGGCTGCTATGCCCAACTTTTTACATGGCTGCTGGGAATCGAACTCACGTCTTCACACTTTGGTGGCCAGCACTTTACCAACCGCACCATCTCCCAAGCCTGACATCTTACTGATCCAGCTGGATCATTCCTGTCTGGTTCTGCCTTGGATTCACCAACACAGCAGTCACCACAGATGTGCTTATGTGTTCTGAGTGGTACCGTTTGCCTGGCTGAGGGGTTCTTTGGCACCAACCTGATAGGTTCTGGCAGGATAACAGTGCCAACTGGGGGAAAGCAAGCATCAGCTGCACCCTCTGACATCTCCAGATCCAGCGGGGAGAAAGGGCTGAAACCGCAGCCAGGGACAGGAGGGGTGGCAGTTCTGACAGCCGCAGAAGTGGACCAGTAGGCATCACCCCTGCCAGGCCTCCGGTGCCTCAGGGGTTGCGGGTCATCCCTGTGCTATCAGGAGGACGCAGTGTGCAGTTCGAGGGAGCCAGCAGGTGTGGTTACAACCACGCAGCTTGGAATCTGTGATGCCAGGCTGGCTGGAAGAAGGCCAGGAGGGCTGCTTTTTTTGTAGATGTGACTTGGGCAGGTCCGGGTTGCTTTTCAAGGGCTGGGCGCAAGTGCTGGCCAACACATGCATAATTAGCTCCATCGACTCTGCAGGCCTTGGTTTTCCAGTGCTATGTTTTCATCTGAGAATGGTGTGTGTACCTGCCACCAGCTCCTGCACCGCTATGAACTACCGTCTCATTGACAGTCAGGGGACAGTGACTGGGGCTGTAGTTTGGAGACTAAAGAGAGTTCTTTGCATAGATGGCACTTTTCTGGGGGCCTCCAGTATTTTATCAGAAGAAAACAAGAGGAGCCTCTCAGGGTATTTTTGGTGTGAAGTTAGTCTGATGGCAGTCGGGGTTTCTCTCTCCTGTTCTTCTCCCATGTCAATCATACAGGTGACTGGGTGGGGCTTCTTTCTGCCTTTTTCCTGTGGCCCCCCTCATGCCAGCCCCGAGGGGAACATGATTTTGATCCGTGTTCTTGAACGGAGTGCTCCTGTTTCATTTCGTGGGAGTCCAAGCTTGTTACCTAGTTTTAGCACTTTATCCTTTGAGGAGCAAGACCTTCTACAGTGGGGGTCACATCTCTGTGGCCAGTGTTCTTTCAGCTTCTATTCAAACAGCCCATGAAATGGTGGCATCTTAAAGTGGTCAAGTTGACATACACGCTGTCATGAATACAGAAAAGTTTTAAAGTTTCCAGGGAGATATGTGCTGGAAGCGTCGAGGGGGCTCAGCTTACGAAGGTGCTTGCTGCTAAGCCTGGTGAAATGAGTTCCATCCCCGGTTCCCACATGGTGGTAGGAGAGAGCTGACTCCTGTACGTTGCTCTCCATGTGCACTGTGGCGCTGGTGTGCCCCCCCACATAATACAATAAACAAGCAGACATAATAAAAATTTAATTGAAAAAGAATATGCTGGGGTTGGGCTAGAGAGATCCCTCAGTGGTTAAGAGCACTGGCTACTCTTCCAGAGGACCTGAGGTCAATTACCAGCAACCACATGGTAACTCACAACCATCTCTAACAGGATCTGATGCCCTCTTCTGGCATAAAGTTGTATATGCAAACAGAGCATTCATATACATAAAAGAAAAAAAAAAAGAATGGGCTGGGGGCATTTAGCATGAACCTCATTGGCTATCTTTTAGAGGCACCCAGTGTTAATATTGGATGTGTGCCCCAGTGGTATAATGATATTTTAGAAAGAGCTTGCACACGACTGCCCCTCAAAGCCTGAAGACGTGATTACCAAATGAAGACAACCCATTATTATTTTTTTATATTTATTTATTGTGTATACAGTGTTCTGTCTGCATGTATGCCTGCAGGCCAGAAGAGGGTGCCAGACCTCATTACAGGTGGTGGTGAGTAACCTTGTGGTTGCTGGGAATTAAACTCAGGACCCCCCCCCCCCAAAGAGTAGTCAGGGCTCTTAACCGCTGAGCCATCTCTCCAGCCCGACAACCCATTATTAAACAAATATTTTATTGCTGGTTGGTGAAGCGTTGCCCTGGAGACTAGGGAAGTAGTCATGAGCAGGTCAGCTTGGAAGGTCTTGATTTTGAGGAGTCAACTTTTCTCCAGAAGAATGGCTTTGGAGGCAAGTAGAAAAGTTGTGATACTTTTACCCTACAATTCTAGTGAAGGGTTTTCCAAACTTAACATTGTGTATTTTGAGCCAGGTAATTCTTTGCTGTGTGTGTGTGTGGGTGGGTGGGGGGGTGTCTGTCCTATGCATTGTGGGATTAGCACAATGCCTGGCTTCTTCCTGGCAACTGTTTATGACAACCAAGGTTTCCCCAGGCAGTGCCTCATGTCCCCTGGAAGGACAAAAAAAAAAAAAAAAAAAAAAAAAAAA